TTGAGCTTTAATCGCTAGTGTTTTGCACTAATTAAGTGTTTTATGCTTTGTAGGAGTGATTCCGAGCTATGTAGATGTTATGGAATGAATTCAAGTAATTTGGAGCTTTGAAGTCTGAGTAAAAGCCCAAGGAACGGATCGTGTTCGGGGATCAAATGATAGTGAAGAACGAACGACGAATTGAGTAGGCATATTGCACACGGTCTAGTAAAATGCACATAACTTTTTGCTCAGAACGCCATTTGGGCTCCTAAATATATGGTTGGAAAGCTAAATCAAAGGGATACAACTTTCATGTTTTACGTTTTTCCAAATTCCAAACAGAACAGGGTAAAAAGTGCGCGTCAAGTGCGCGGCCGCGCAAATGGGGCAGAACACTGGTCAATATGCGCGGCCCATCCGCGGTTGATCCGCGACCGCGCACGTCTGTCCGGGAAAAGTGTCCTTTTTCGTGTAAGAGAAGCTATATGTTTGGGACCAACCCTAATTGGTATATATACATGGAAAAACGGTATTTTGAGGACTTTTGGCATAATTTAGACCTAAGGAGGCTAAGGAGATCGGGAATTCGACTTAAGGAAGCAAGAACACACTAGGAGCAAGGCGGAGAATTCTTCTACGAGTTTTTCACTCCTTCTTCCTATTTTCATTATTGGTTATGAATTTTAGTATTGTAGTTATGCATACTATTATGAATAGCTAATTTGTTATCTAGAGTTTTGATGGAACCTATTGGAGGATGATTTTCCTGTTACTTTAATATAGTTTTGCCATAGTATTTTCTCTATTTGTTCAACTACGTTATTATTGTGGTTGGTTGAAGAGCTCTCAATCGACTGTGCCTATTTAGTATGTATTACTCGGGAGAGCGTGCATATTTAGGTAGTTGTTGAACAACATCACTCCTAACGTATATGAGAGATCAATACGAAGGGTTTAAAGGTGGGATAGGGATAACGAAACCTTGGGTGCGATCCGAGTGAGTCGTTCTTAATGCCAGCTAGCATAATTCGGGATAATATGTTTAGTAAATTGTGGTAATTACTCGGGAGAGAGTTACGGCAGTCAGAGCGCTCATGATCGGTAGAGAATACTTAGGCGAATTTATAGAAAACGTAGCAGGAAGGATTCCGACAATTGGAGAATCATAACTCTAAACCTCCTTAATCTTGTATCTAACTCTTAGTATCTGTAGTTGTTAATCTACTAATTTAATTTGTTAGTTAATTAGATACAAGAATCTTAATATTTATAACATAGGAATTGTTTGAGCTTGTCTTCTTAGCAATATTGAACAGTTGTAGCTAAGCCTTAGTTCTCTGTGGGATTTGACTCCGGACTAGTAAACCGGATTATATTTGCAACAACCGCTTGGTCCTTTTTATAAGGCATAGTTGGGCGTGATCAGTATTCTCTATCTTCAGCAAGTAGCTCTAAGCCAGTAACAAGACATTTTCAATGATTAAATTTATTACTTTAAGTACCTTTTTTCTCTCTATGGTTTGATACTTGTTGGTTTTTGATAAAAAATTTGTCAATGGTCATGTGAGCTTAGAATATTTTTTATATTTGTGAGTACTTTATTAAGAATATTACAGTTTATGGCTTTATCCACTGGTTAATATTGAAACGGAATAAATCGAAGTTACATTACCGAATAAACCGAAATCGAAAGGAGATAAGCCGAATCATACCGAATATAATTAGGTACGGTATTGAAAAAATATTTTTACAAACCGAATACCGAAAATATCGAACTGAAATATTTAAATACCATATCATACCGAGTACTGACCGAGACGAAGACCCTCTTTCTTCATCTTTGATTTTCTTTTACATTACTTTTTCATGTGAGATGTCTCATTAATAAATTAGTACCCCATTATTTGTTGAAAAGTACACGTATTATAAAGATACTCATTAGATACGGAATACAATAATCTTTCTAGTCATTGCTTATGTCCATATATGTACCAATATATTTTCTTAATTGAAGAGGACGAAGTTAGGTCCATAATTGAACAGAATTTAATATTTGGGTACGAACCTAAAAAAGCTGTACACTCGTTATTATTGCTAATATCTATCATTATTAAATAATACTTCTACTATGTCAGTCTCAATCTAACCCCACTTGTCATTGGGAGTCTCACATGTGTACCATAAATAGTTAAGTAATGTTATAAATATCTACGTACTTTTTATATTAGTTACGATCTGTTAGTAAAAAAAATTAGTATATGATTAGACCCATAAGCTGGGATTAGCATTTTTCTTAATTTTTTTAATGGTGGAATCTGTATTAGCGAGGTTCATGTTGTACTTAAGATTCTCTTTAGTAAATTATTTTCTGTAAATAGTGTGACACACTATAGTTGTTTTGGTCTGTTTGTTTTATTATCACTGATATATTCTATCTATCGTACACTAGGTTAAGCTCATGTTTGGCCATAGATTTTAGTTTTATATTTTCAGAAAAGAATTGAAAATATTATTTTTTTATGAAATATGATCATGTTTTGGGGGGAAAAAATTCAAAAATTACCAAGTTCTTAAAACTAGTTTAGGGCAGTTTTGGATTAAAAAAAGATCTTTCACTCATAGAACTTTAACTTTTCTTAAATAAAATACATGTCCAAACACAACTTCAACTTTTAAAAATTATTTTTCAGCACAACTTTAAAAATTCTTTTTTTAAAGATTCAATCAAATATATGTCTAAACGTTAGCTAAGTTTGGTTCTTTTAAAGTTTTAGACAAAAGTTTAAATTTCAATCCTGAATTATTATATATGATTATATGATTTTACCTAAATTCAAATACTCGTATGGATAATGTTCAATCTGATAGGTGGCGAAGCCAGGAATTTTTGCAATGGTGTTCAATTTGAAAATAGTGAAAAAATTTCCTGACAAAGAATGTTCAGTATATGTTGTACACCTCTAAAATATATCTATATACGTATTGTAATTTTTCGACAAAGGATGGTCAATTGATCACCCTTCGGATAATGTACCTTCGCCCCTGAATCTGACCAGTCAATCCGGCCATCCGATCAACAACAATAATAACAATATATCCAGTATAATTCCATAAGTGGAAAAACCAATCAATTTGGCCGATTTTATAAAATTTATACCCTATCAAAAATAGAATACATGAAAGCAAAATGATGTTTATATATTATGTGCCTTTCTTTTTCTTACTTTTCTTTTTAAGGGGACAGGTGTAACATAAGTATTACATTGCCAACTACGTGCCCAACTTGCTTAGGTCCTTTTCAGTTCTCAGTTAACACAAGGAGTGTGTAGAGTCAGTTTGGTAATTTTATAATGAATCTTTTTTCTTTTTGGGTTTAATAATTAAAATTTGAAAATCGATTAATTTAGTTTGCACCGAATAGGCTCACGAAAAAATCAACTATTTTCTACATAAAATTTGAGATCTTCAATTAGAAAAATAATATTCCAATAATCACCTCTTAGGCAACATAGATGAACAATGATAAAATTATCTCTGTATCACGTACCGTAAGCCACTAATGATTGCATTAGAATTAGGGACGAAACCACGTTCATTTAAGGGTGGTCAATTGACCATCCTTCATCGAAAAATTACGCTGCATAATAAGTAAAATATTAAATTTTAGAGGTATATAACATATATTGAATACCCTTTATCGGCAAAAAAATTTCACTTCATTCAAGTTTGAACACCCTTAGAGAAATTTCTGATTTCGCCACTGATTAGAATATACTGCTTACATCATACCTCTTAGGCCTTTCCTGCGTGAATGCTGGATGTTTTGTGTATCAGGCAATACATTTTGCTATATTTATACTAAAACTTCGGAATAAGTTATCACATTTAAATCTTAAGGGTGTGTTTGGTATGAAGGAAAATATTTTTCGGAAAATGTTTTCCAATTTTTTCATGTTTGGTTGGCTTAAATGTTCTGGAAAACATTTTCTTTATTAACTCATTTTCCTCCAATTGGAGGAAAATATTTTCCTTATCAAGAGATGGGAAAACATTTTCCAAAACTCCTTCTCAACATTCCCCACCCTCACAACCCCCCCCCCTCCAAAAAAGGCTTTTTCTTAAATTTCAGCTTTTCTGTTACCACCCACCCTACTCCCCCTCCACCCCACCCCCCACCCCCTCCCGCAAAAAAAAAATTACTTTTTTTTTGTAATTTTAATTTTTGCTTTTTTCATTTTTCTGGCCCCCTACCCCCCCCCCCCCTAATCGGTTTAAAGGTTCAAAATTTTATAAGTACCAGAGTTATGAGTTCGGAGGTTTATGTGTTTGGAAGTTTACGAGTTTAGAAATTATAAAGTTTACGGGTTCGAAATTCCGCGGTTTCGAAAGTTTAGTGGTTCGAAAGTTTATGAAATTTGTGGATTCGGAAGGTTGTTGGTTTGAAAGTTTATAACTTCATGTTTATTATATTTAAATTTATGAATACTCTTGAGAAGTCATTTTCCTTAATTTGCGTACCAAACACCAAAAAATAAATAAGATTATTACTTGTTTTTTAAGAAAATATTTTCCACGAAAAATATTTTCCGTTACCAAACACACCCTAAATTTTTGGTTATATTCCCCTGTCTGTCTTGCTATAAATCTGATTCTAACGTAGGACCAAAAAAGCTTAGTTACATAGGAGGAACCTTCATCGTTATAGTCGACCGTGGACAATGTTAAATCTACCTCGTAAAATTTATACAATTAAAAAATTGTAGTTGTTACGTGGGACCCGCACCAAAAGGAAATTTGTCTAGTGGGACCCAGAACGTACAATATGGGTGCAGTTTATAGTGGGTCCCAGGTAGCACAGTACTCTCTGACCTTGACCCCACAGCTGACACTGACACAGTCTCTCATGTTTCATGGGTGTCAAATGTCATAGGGTGGGACAAAAGCATTTTCTTGAAATGCTTTGTATAATTTGTAATCGTGAAATAAACATCAAAAAGAGAGGGGGCCAAATGTGTTGAATCTGTCTCTTTCATTTCTTTTATACTCCCTCCGGTCCGGTCCAAAATAAGTGATTTTTTGACATAAGTGATTTTTTCATATTAATAGAATAGAAGAGTAGAATATTATGGTAGGATTGGGTGAAATGGTGGGGTTGAATTTTCAGTACTAGTTGGTTAGACTTTTTGCTTTCTTAGCTTAGCAGAGAAAGGGAAAGAAAGAAAGAAAGAGAAAAAGTGTTGGAAAAGGGTAAAAGCTAAAGCCTTTTGGGTTGTTTTTTTTCTTCTGTTTTGTGTTTATTCATCTTCTTTGGGGTTCTTCTCTAATGGGTTCTTGTTAAAAAGTTGAAATCTTTACATCTAAGTTTCACACTGGTATTCACACTTTGCTCAGCTCAGGTTTGTCTCTGTCTTTTTGTGTTATTCTTTTGTAGTATTGAACATGCTCTTTGTTTGGTGTGAAATGGTTTTTTGATGTGTTCTTGATTCATTTCTTGAGCTTGATTTCTTGGCTATGTCTGTGTGGATAAGTTGTCTTTCGGAAACAGCATCTCTAACTGCACAAGGTCGGGTAAGGTCTGCGTACGTACCACCCTCCCAAAACCTTAGTTGAGGGAATATACTGGTTATGTTGTTGTTGTCGTCGTCTGTGTGGACAGATTGTTGTTTGTTTTGTTACTGTTGTGGTTTGTTTTTTTAGATCTGTGTTGTTACTGTTACATTTACTGTTTGATTCCCTCTCAGTTCTCTATTATCTTCCTTGCATGTATTTTTAAGCTCTGTTATTTGTTATAATGAGAAGGGTGTAGTTGTCTTGAAAGTTTGGGAGTGTTACAAGTTTTCTTTGGTGATGAGACTTTATAGATTCACCATTTCCTTTTCATTGTGCTGTTTCTGATATATCATGTGACATTCTAAATTAGTACTCCCGTTCCAATTTATGTGAACCTGTTTGACTGGGCACGAAGTTTAAGAAAAAATGAAACTTTTGGAATTTGTGGTTCTAAACAAGTTAAAAAGGGGCCCAGAGTATTTGTGTGGTTATAAAAGCTTCTCATTAAGGGTAGAATTGTAAGTTTAAGCTAAATTGTTTCCAAATTTAGAAAGGGGTCATTCTTTTTGGAACGGACTAAAAAGGAAATAAGTTCACATAAATTGGAACGGACTAATAAGGCAAATTTTTCTGATAAACATTACAACTGGTATAAATGACAACTTGGATTCTTTTGCAATGTACGATAACAACAGCAAATCCAGTGTAATTCCACAAGTGGGGTCTGGGAATGGTAGTGTGTACGCAGCCTTACCCCTACCTTGCGAAGGTAGAGAGTCCATTTCCGATAGACCCTCGGCTCTAGCAAGGCACAGTCATAGCAGTGTTTAAAAGAAGTGCAGTAGTGAAAAAGCCATAAAAAATAAGCAGTATCAACAGCAAGATAGTTAGATAACCGAAGCAAAAGAAACAACATGTAGTGATAAGAATAAGAAAAATATGGGAAATTCTTTTGCAATGTGTTTGTGTTAATATGTTTTATGAGCTCTTGAGTTACTTGTGATTGTGTTCTGTAATTCTTCAGCCTGAATCTGCTTTTGATTGCTTAAATAAATTCAGTTTGACTGCTGTTTGAAGGGAAAACATACCAAATTTGTTCAGCTCATTACGACTCATTGTGCTTTACTGAAAAGAGTGCAATAGGTGTGTGCTTATTTGTTATATTTTGTAGAATGTTGAAAGGAAGGAGAAATACCTCATGATGTTCAGTTTTTGTTTTCTTGTCCATTGAACTTGTTCCAAACTCCAAAATACATTCTTCGTTGCACATCACAGTCGTGCTTTTGTTGTATCACTACTTTAGCAGTCAATCTTGCCAAAGAACTCTTGACAACGTGACAAGATGTCCTGTCTGTTGTTATTCTCACCACTTAGCAATCTGCAATCAAAAGTCCATTTTTTATGGCAATGCTGCTGTGCTCTTGTTATATCATTTATAGGTCCCAATCTTGATAAAGAATCTGAAAAATGTAAGGAATGGTGTCTGTCGGTTGTGATTATCACTGCTGAAACTTGTCCAGAAAGAATAGTCCGTAGTCTGTTGTTATTGTCACCATTTTGGAGTAAAGAATCACGTAAGGGAGGGGATGACATTGTGGCACACCTTTTGGTACTCTTGAGTTGTTAGGCTATTATTCAGTTGTTGAGGAATGAGAAACAATCTTTTGACATTTTCTTGTTGCTGGACATTGTAAAATGTTTGGGACGATTGAGTTACAAAATATTTTGGAGGACAAGGAGTGTGGTTAAAATCCGGTTTGGTTCAGCCCAAATTGCAATAAGGATGGTTTCCTTTATTTGTTTCTAACATTTTCCGTGACGACCCTCTGGAAAAATATGCCTCTTAAGTGATAACAGTTTTAACATTTGTGGTAGCCGCATTATCATTTGTCATATCAGTCAGAATATTGAGTCCCAATACTTACTACATTTTTATCGCTTGCTCTTGATATTTACTATTTAGAGCTATGGGTCAACTTCTGGTCATCGGCGTCTTAAAGTTATATGTATTTTGTCTCGTTTAGTCACCACATCACTCACACATGTTAGTTTTGCAGGCTTCAACACAATATGATTGTGTTATTTGAATCCAGCAAGCTGCTATGCTCTGTATTGTTGTCTCGATAGAATTCTTCGATTCCTCTAGGATTAATTCCCGAAGATGGTGAGACGTCAGCAATCTTCATTCTTACATTATTGATTATGGTGAACAATCAGATAGCAGTTGTGACCTCAAAAACATGATTGAGCTTTTCATTTCTGGTCTTTGAAAGTTTTGCTGAGGGCATATTGTGCTTGCAAGGAGTATCCACATCAAAACCAACATTGCTGACAGTGGAATTTCCTTCGAGCTAATCAAAAACGGAAACTTTATAGTCGGATATAAAGCATCAAAAGTTGTGAAAATGAAGGGATGTGGTAAAATTAGTATTTCCTTATCTGACAAAAAGTGCCTAAAGAATGAAGCGTCTATTTCCAAACAAGATTTTGCAAACAGTACAAGGGAACAATTTAGTAATCTTTTAGAGCAGCAAAACATATCTGCAAAGAGTGATATCAGCTCAGAGGTAGAACGAGACAACAATGAAGGTGATGGGAGGAGAGCACTCCTAAATTCTGGAGAAAATGGGTTAAGTTCCATTACACAAACGGAGTCTTCATGTTCTAACTCAGATGTAACTCATCAAGTTAATTCCTCAAGTCAGGAAACATCAACAGAAGCCAAAACATGCATGCAACAGAATGGAAGTGCTTCTGCACCGATTAGTTTCATTTCTAGTATGGAAGATCCAGTGACAAGCAGTGAAGCTTCAGGTTTGGCTGCACAAAATTCTGTCGGTAATGTTAAAGCTAACACTAAGGCATTGGTGGGGATGATTAAGGACCAAAATTCCTTACATCTCTCGACATGCAGTCATCAGTTGCGGAAAAATCATCGTGATAAGGTTAGTGGAGGTGTTGATTGTTGTGGTAACCATAACTGCTTAGCTGAAACAAACAAAGAAAGCCATTCACGTCATTTCTGTTCCAAGGGGGAAAAAGAAATTTTGCTGCCTCTTCAATCAAAAAATAGATCGTCCTCATTGGAATCTGAAAAGATGGGGGATCCTGCAAAAAAGCTCGAGTTTAATGGTGGCCTGAAATCACCTGCTTGTCCACTCACAAAGTGTGAAATAGATCAGCGACAGACTTCAGTAGTCAATATGCTTGATTTGAATGAGGACGTCAACCAAAATGATTTGGATGATGATGCGAAGCAATCAAATGGTCAAAATATAGTGATACGAGTAGTAGCTAAATATGGAGTTCCTTTACCTCCCTTGTCTACGACTGTGAGTTCATTGAAATTTGAAGGCAGGCTAGGCTGGAGGGGTACTGCTGCGACCAGTGCTTTTCGCCCTGCTGCTTCTTTATCCAAGAGTTCAGATTGGGACACGAAAAGAATTATGGAGTTTGACCTTAATGTTGCTGCTGCTTCAGAAGACGAATTGCCAAGTGAAAATAGGATTACATCAACTTTTAGAAGTTATTCTTCAAATCATAGTTCAAAACAAGCAGAAAAGATGTTTAACTTTGACCTCAATTTGCTTGGCGATAATGCAGATGAGAAAAGTTCTTTTCCTGTGAAATCAGAAAAGTTGTCTTCATTTTCCCTGAATTTGAATGAAGATCCACAATTTCAGAAGAGAATAATAGAATCTTCAGCTTGTCCAGTCTTTTCCAGAGACAATCAAGACCTCAAGTTTGTTAGATTAGGCACCTGGGGAGACATGAAGAACTCGGGCCAGCCATTTCTAGTGGCTACACCTAATATGCAGCACACAGTGCAAAACATGGTGCCACTGCAGTCAAAGTTACCATACGCGGTCCAGATGTTACCATCTCATAGTAGTTATCCCTCTAACAATGGTCCCTTATATATTGCCCCGTGCGCAAGAGATGCACATGAAGGGGTCACATACCCTCAGGTACTCAATATGTCAACGTTTCCTGGGGGTCCCTATCTCATCCACGGTCAAGGTCCGGGTGGTGCTATGAACAGTCGAACAAGACTTGATGTAAATAGTGGACAAGTTTATTTGATGAATGGTTTCAGGAAGGATAATATTGCCACACACTTCTTTCCTATACAAAGTACAGAAGAGCAAAGGAAAGTTTACCGACAACCGTCTATGCCCATGAAGAGGAGGGAACCAGAGGGTGGATATGATTCTTTCCAGTCTGCTACTGCTTATAAACATACAAATTAATGCTTCTCTCATTCTTAGCATCCATTTCACTTGGAAGTGCAAGCAAATCTGTCGTCTTAACCGAAATATAGGACATGCATGGAACTACTCATAGGTGGCTTTCTTATAGCCCCAGTTTTTTCCACAGGGCATAAAGAACCTTAGTGTTATCTCTTCTTGCTTCAGATTAATTTTTCAGATATGTTCTGCAACTGGATTATCTTAGTGTTATTGTACATGAGACAATTTCATATTCTTGAAACTATGGAATTGATGGTGATACAAGCAACATAAGTTGAAATCTTTACTGGCATCTGGATCTTCAGGCTTTTTGCATGCATTTTAGTCTCATGGTATTTCTATTGATGGGCCTTCAAAAGCCAGGCACACAAAGCATCTTGCATTCACGGAGGGTCCAGGAAGGGTCGTCCCCCAAGGGGTGCGATGTAAGCAGCTCTGATGCAAGCATCGGTGGCTGATTCTACGGCTCGAAACAGCATCGAGACAACTTTACCATTGATGGGCCTTCAAAAGCAATTCTATACCTTTTAACTTCCCCTTCCGTTACCTCATTTAGTAAGGTAATCTTTGTTGCTACGTAGTGCAAGTCTGAAAATTTGTGAGGTCTTCCTAGGTGTTCTACGTGATCCGCGGAAAACAGTTTAAGGCAGCCCGGTGCACTAAGCTCCCGCTATGTGCAGGGTTCGGGGAAGGGCCGGACCACAAGGGTCTATTGAACACAGCCTTGACATGCATTTCTACAAGAGGCTGTTTCCACGGCTCGAACCCGTGACCTTCTGGTAATATGGCAGCAACTTTACCAGTTACGCCAACGTCGCCAAGGCTCCCCTTTGGAGAAAATAATTTACACTGGTGATTTTTCTGTCTAATGTCTTTGACTTGAGATGTAGTTTGTTTGCTTGTGTAGTTTATGTCCAAATGATGGGGTAAGTATATTTGCTTGCAATATGTGTATGAACACAAACCATCATTGTTCATTGGGTTAAATAAAGAGCTATTTATGTTTCCATCTTCTTTTTTGGGTTTTTAAGTAAAAAAAAGGGAGAAATTAAAAAATAGCCAGATTTACAAGTGGTCATTCAAAAATAGCCATAGTTTTAAAAGTTATCAAAATTTAGCCACTTTTCATATAAAGATAAATCTGAACGAAAACACTGTTCAAAATCCAGAAAATACTCCAGCATAATATACTGGAATTCTAGTATACTGTTGGAACTCCAATTATAATGGAACTCCAGTATATTATATTGGAGCCAGCAAAGTATACCGATCCAGCACAATATGCTGGAAGTTCATACACAGGTGTATCGAACTCCAGTATATTATGCTAGACTGATCTCTGTTGCAGCAAAATACTGGTTATTTTTTAATGACTTGGCAAACGCTAGCTATTTTTGAATGACTAGTTCGAAAATTGGCTAGCTCGTGCTATTTAAAATGTTATTGGTCCAAAAGTTAAAGGCTCCAAAGTAAAATGGAAGAATATGGACTGCATAAAGTGTCCTTCATTTAGTGTTCTTTTGGGTCGTAATGCATATACTACTACAATTTTCCCAAACCCTACCTCTTTCATAAGATAAAGATATTATACGCTGATCTTCAAAATTCTTTTTGAAAGTGATGTGTCCATCTTTGACTTTGTCCACCATTAAAAAAAAAAGAATTTTGCTGAACTAAAAACTAGAATAATGAACCAAAAAGGAAGAGAACTTCATCCATTCTTGCCCATCAAACAATTTTGCTCCTATCAATATAAGTTGGTTAGCTTTATTATTTTTGTTGTCGTTACTTTTTTGTTGTACAATATTTTTATTATATTTTTTTTTTACTCTTATATTTTTCAAATCTGTTATTTAAAAAATAATTTTCTTGAGCCGAAAGTCTATCGGAAACCTCACAAAACGTAAAGATAAAGTCTATGTACACTTTACCTTCTCACACTTAACTTGTGGGATATTTTATTGTTGTTGTTGTTGTTCAAATTATGAGAGATTAGGTGGAAACCGTAATTCTTGTACTATTCACTTTAGTTGGTGGAATAATAGGATTATTTATCTCTTTAATTATGATTATAGTTTCGTTCGCTGGTTAACTAGCCTCTGTGAGTACCTTAGCATGCCATGTTTTTGTCGAAGGTACGGCTCAAGTAAGCTGTCAATCTTGAAATATCATCACCGGCGGAGGCGGACCCAGGATTCAGTGATCGCAGGGGCACCATGACATTAATATAAATTTATCACTGCTCATAAAGATTTATACTAATATTTGATTATTTCTTGAAGATATTTACAAGCATATATGAATTTTTTGCGGAAGTTACCGGATACCGGTAACCCCTCTTGTTAAAATGTGCGTCCACCTCTAATCACCAGAGGTTACAATATTATAAATATTTATTATGATTCAGCTCAGCACATTCGATTATTAAATGATAAATTTCTAAATATAAACAGAATTTGCTAATCTACCTTTTTGCTGAGTTCATTTGCTACGTGTAAATTTTATGTATAGGTGATACTTTTATAAATAGATAAATGTGTGCGTGTACATCTACAAATACATGCATTATTCATCTGTTATCACTAAAGTGTAGTGATTGTGTCGTTGATTTCTATCTGTTGTCAAAGTTTTATTAAATTTTGCTTTTTATTACTTTTGGGATAGTTTGGTTACCGGCAAGATAGTATTTCAGATTGTATCTTTTCCATGTTTATTTATGGGTATTTGACCAAAAAGTATTGAGCCTTTCGGTTAAACTAATTAATAAAGATATGAACCATTTTATTTTCGCCAAAAGCAAGTTAATCTATAGTCCCAGATATGAACCATTTTATTTTCACTCTTTTGCAAATGGGGTATCTATAATTTCTTAACTCTCATCCATTAGGTTATTACATGATTTCACAAAATGACCAAAAGAAAAGTGATGCTTCGATTAAAATAATTTAGGACTTAACTTGGATAGTATTTTATCTCAAAATTGAAGAAGTTAAAATCTAACACAGACACATAGATACATATACATTTTTTATATATACAATCAAACATCTCTATAACAGTCTCGTTTGTTTCGATACTTTTTGGCTGCTATAGTGAAGTGTTGTTATAGAAAACATATATTATAACATAATATTGCAATCGATTCCGAAAAAACTTGGCTTTTATAATGAATGGTTGTTATATAGAGATGATGTTATAGAGTCTGATTGTGTACAATCAAAGGAAAAATAAATAAGTTCCATAAGGGTAGAAGAGTAGTGAAGGAAATTTCACTACCTATAGAAATATTTTCACTGTCTTTATGGTAGCATTTTGTCCTATAGTATGGTAATTGGTAAGTATACTTTAATTTTCACTAGCTTTCTGGCAAGCATAACCTTTTCAACTTTTAGGTTTTTTCATAATAATAATAATAATAATTTTTATAAAAAAAACGAGTAGCATTTTCTAAAACGACACTAGTATAATTTAAATCACTGAAACTTGATATAGTTTAAAATTTTCATATTTCTCACTAGACAGGTAAAATCTTATCAGTAACGGTATATATATATATATATATATATATATATATATATATATATATATATATATACCGTTACTGAGTTTTATTAATTCTTAACACTAACTATTTAATTAGTTATAAACACTCAATGCGAATAAGAATTATTTAAGATATTATGGAAATGATGAAATAACTATGGAATTCTCTTTTGTTCTTATCTTTTCGGTCGAGGCTTTAAAAAGACAACCAAATTTTGTGAAGGGAGACGTAATCTAGGTTGGACAAATTTACATGAAATTTTGGACCTTTGAATATATTCATGCATCATAGTTTGATAATTATGTTGGCATTTTGTCCATTTCTACTACTTGCTATCAGTGGTGGAGGCAGGATCTCCACGAAGGGGGTTCAAAAATTTTTAGCGAATTGAACCCATGACCTTATATAGATTTTGAACCCCTTTGACCACTAAACTATACTTTTGGATTGTGTTAAGGGGGTTCAAAACTTAATATATAGAGGTAAAAATAGATTTTGCCTTATATATACAGTGTAATTTTTCGGCGAAGGGGGTTCGAACGAACCCCTTGCGCCACCCTAAATCCGCCCCTGATTACGTTGCCATCATCATTTCTTGAACTTGAAGAATTTTTATGTCGTTGTCCACGAATTATGATGACATATGGGCAAGTGGCCAAATAATTAAGTATTAGTGGAATAAATAGCTATAGAAGGTATATATTGACAATTACCATCCACCATAACTAGTCTTTCTCAATTGCTATTAGTGGAACCAATAGTATTTAGAGATAAATTCAGAATTTAAAGTTAATAATTTCCTACGAACGATTTCAAATTAATTCTATTACATAATTGAACTTACAATCAAATTTATAGATATCCAATGAAATTCTTAATTAATAAAAATATAAAAACTACTAAGTTCACGTGAACCTGTAACCGATAAATTATAGAATTCTATTTAAACTTTATAATTGCACATAAGTATGAATAGTTTTATATATTAGATTTATTTTTAACGAGTATTACTTTACCCTAGAAAATTGAAGAGAGACAAACAAATTTAAATAGAAAAATTAATTGAGTTTGCTAATTTCTCTATTACTAGCAAATATGTGCCTATAGATTAACTCATGAGCACTTCCCAATGACAAGAGACAAATTTATGATGTCTTCTATTGCACCTAACATAATAAAGTCATTATGATCTCTCTTTTGGGTGTCCAATGCAAAACCTTATCCCCCCCCCCCCTCCCTCCCCCCTGCCAACTCTCACCCCATCCCACCCTCAAAGAAAATAAAAGGACACGACAGGTCAGCGCATAAAGTATCCTGCAATCGTGTAAGATTAAGAGTCGTATCTTAGAGGTGTGATGTAGGCAGTTTACTTTAATGCAAGTTTTAGTTACTATTTTTACGGCTCGAATCCGTTATCTATAGGTTACACGAAGTCATCCTCAAAGAAAATGAGCGAAAAAAACAAAAGGGAAAAAAAAACACAAAGTAGGAAGAAAAATTGAGAAAAAAATAATTACTCAAAGAAAGTTTCTTGTATTTCACTGAAAAATTTAAGTGTGTCAGCAATAAATGATTGTACTAGTTTTGCAACTGCCGGTGTTGAATGAAATTCAGTATATTTGGACAGGTACCTAATGCAGTGGTCTAAGATTTTGTACCATTTAATTTTCTTTCACTTAGTCCTTTAGCTAATCAATTAACCACAGCTGCCCCTATACTTTGAGGATGTCTAACTTTGACC